CATCCCAAGCGAGTTCTTAACCATCGCGCCACTCGGCCGGCCCTTGAGGAGCCCGTTCTTGAGTTGGGTCCTAGAATGGTGATTTGCTTATACCTCTGCACTACAGTTCCATTTATTGAACATTCCTAGGTTATTCTGAGCTGACTTAGGTACCCAGATATAAATTTAAAGAAATCCTGGGGCCGGCTGAGTGGCTCGTTGGTTAAGAGTTGGCTTGGGAGCGCACGCAAGCTCTGAGCAGTAGGACCACCGGTTTGGATCCCGCATGTTCCAGTAAGCTGCGCCCTCTACAGCTAAGATGGTGAACAACAGCTCGACCTGGAGCTGGGCTGGCGTGAGTCGCTGGTGACGGTGTAGGCTGCAGTGGGGCTGCATTGGCTGCCGTAAGCTACTGTGAGTGGCCCACAGCCAGCGTGAGCCACCGTGAGCGGCCGTCCAATGGCCGCTGACCGATCTGGCTCAGCCGGGAAGAGCGCAATGATCACAATATCAACATGGGCCAGTGAAGCAACGTCCTCCACAACTAGACTAAAGAACAAAAGGACAGCAACTTGTCTGTTCTGCTTCCCTCAATGCCCCAGCGCTGTTCCTTCCCCCAATTTCCCAGTAAAATCTTAAAAAAAAAATTTTTTTTTGACCCAGCCAGGATTTTAGAGCACTGTACAAGCTGCTTTAACAGTTAAGAAGTAAGAAAATTTTGAAGTGAGAAAACTGCCCTCCTTGTTTTCTTGCTCGTTCCTTGTTTGTGTCTTGCAGGTGCCTTGGGCAGGAAGCCTAGGTCAGAACACTCCTGCACTCACGCTCCTAGGGTGAAGTGCTGGGTCCGTGTGGCAACCCCCTGCAGCCCAGGACCACAGCACAGACTGCTGCACGCTACTGTGTGACTCCTCTGAGATCTACTTAGAGATAATAATGAAAGTGTTATTTGGAACTTAGTGAATAGCTCAGTGTAGATGCTTAGGATCACAGGGAAAGAGGGATGGAATTAGGGTTGGGATGAGGGACAGAAACATAAGAAAAGTAAACATACGAAAGGAGCAGCCTGTGTTTAGAGGCTGAGTGTAGGCACCTGTCAGTGGAGGAATCCTGTCCTGACAGCTGAAAACTAGGCTGGGGAAATAGTAGGGAGATAGCACCTTCTCTCCTGCCCACTCCACTGTCACGCTCTTTTCATGAAAAGCCACCCCTGAACTCGCAGTGTGCTTACTGCTCGACTGCTTGCATAGGGCATTTGTCTCATTCTGTAGCATGTTCGGGTATGTCCCGTGTCCTAGAAGTCTGGGAGCCCTTGAGGAGGGGGACCACCCCATTTGTCTTGATAGTCCACAGCGCTTGTCCCTAGCCCGAGGCAGACTTTATATAAGGTCAGTTGAACGACAGACCCAGTAGTGGTCAGATGGTCTTGATAAGTGGGGTTTGTGAAGGCTGCTGACTGGGCCCAGGAGATTAGAAGATGCTTGTGGTGGGCGGGGAGGAGAGTGAGACAAAATCGGGGCTTACGGGGCCCCGTGGGAGAGGAGGGGAGGGGCTGGGTCAGCTCCTAGAAAGGCTGGGAAGGGCATTAACACTGGCCTGCACAACAAGATGGAGCCTGGTGCCAGGAGCCAGCCCCCGCTGGGCCTGAGAAGGAGCCTGTAATGCCAGGGTCCTTCGGCTGAAAGCAGCAGCAATCTCAGTTAAACCCGCTTAAACACAAGAAGAGGTTTATTGGTTCCCATAGGCGCATGGCAGCAGGGGTGGCTAGTCTCAGGTACAGCCAGATCCGGTACTCACACAATGCCCTCAAGAATGTGTATGTGTCCTCTGGCCCTTTCTCGTCATTCCCACTCCTGGGCACACCCTCACACTAGGTGACTGGGCAGCATCAGACTTGTGCCCTACAAAAATAAGGATGGCCAGAGTCCAGGGACTGATCTGTTGGCTGCAACTGGGTCGCTTTTCCACAGCTGAGCTAGTGGTCCTGACTCAGGCGAGGCCACAGGACTCAGGGGAGGGAGAGGCAACCCAGAGAGGAAATGGAGGGTGTTCCCAGAGTGGGGAGTGAGTGTAAAATGGGCAGGAAATGAGCAGGGGAGCACTGAAGGGACATGGCCCTGTCACAGTCACCGTGCAAAGCAGAGGAGCCTCATACATGGCACTGTGCACGTAAGTCACTCTTTTCCTTGTTTTTCAGCATCTCCATGACACGGTGAAGAGAAATCTTGATAGTGCCACCTCCCCTCAGAATGGCGATCAGCAGAATGGCTATGGGGACCTTTTTCCTGGGCACAAGAAGACCCGCCGGGAAGCTTCCCTGATAGTAGCTGTGTCTTCCAACGGCTTGCCTCCAGCCTCCCCACTCAGTCAGCCTGATAAGCCTGGTGCAGAGGCCCTGCAGGCCAGTGGGAAGCACTCGCTGGGGCTGGACTCCATGAATAAGAAGTGTCTGGCAGACTCAAGCCTCCATCTGAACGGAGGCAGCAACCCCGGTGAGTCTTTTCCACTGAGCCTGAGTAAAGAACTGAAGCAGGAGCCTGTGGATGACCTGCCTTGCATGATCGCGGGGGCCGGAGGCTCCATATCCCAAAGCAACCTCATGCCTGACCTCAACCTTAACGAGCAAGAGTGGAAGGAGCTCATTGAGGAGCTGAACAGGTCGGTGCCCGATGAAGACATGAAGGATCTGTTTAATGAGGACTTTGAGGAGAAGAAGGACCCCGAGCCTTCTGGTGCTGCCACACAGCCCCCCTTGACACAGGACATTAATATTAAGACAGAATTCTCTCCAGCAGCCTTTGAACAAGAACAGTTAGGCTCTCCACAAGTGAGGGCTGGGTCTGCAGGACAGACCTTTATGGGGCCTTCATCTGGCCCTGTGAGCAAAGAGTCATCCAGCCTAGGGGGCTCTCAGCCTCTGTTCCACACCTCTGGTCAGCCCGGGGCAGACACTTCCAGTCCCAGCCTGATGCCGGCATCAGCCCAGGCCCAGAATGCACAAAGAGCCATGTCCAGTGTGGTGTTGCCCAGCCAGGGCCCGGGAGGGGCCTCCGAGCTGTCCTCTGCCCATCAGCTCCAGCAGATCGCTGCCAAGCAGAAGCGCGAGCAGATGTTCCAGAATTCACAGCAGGCCTCCCCCGCACCAGCTCCAGGCCAGATGTCCACGTGGCAGCAAACAGGTCCCTCCCATAGCCCCTTAAATGTCCCTTATCCCATGGAGAAGTCTGCCAGCCCTCCCGGCTACAAGCAAGACTTCCCCAACTCCAAACTGCTCATGATGCCCAACGTGAGCAAGAGCTCCCCTCGTCCTGGAGGCCCCTACTTGCAGCCCAGCCACGTGAGCCTGCTGAGTCACCAGCCGCCAAGTAATCTGAGCCAGAGCACCGGGACTAGCCAAGGGTCCGTGCTGGACTATGGCAATACCAAGCCCCTTTCTCATTACAAAGCGGACTGCGGACCGGGTGGCCCTGGGGCTGGCCAGAGTAAGACGGCCCTCATGGCTTACCTTCCCCAGCAGCTGCCGCATCTGAGCAATGAGCAGAACTCCTTGTTTCTGATGAAACCAAAGCCTGGAAACATGCCCTTCCGATCACTGGTTCCACCCAGCCAGGTGAGCAGGGGCTTCACTGTGGGAATCTGTGTCCCTGGGTACCAGGTGCAGGTAGTTAAGGAACAAAGGGAAGGAGGGAGGGAGCAGCTGCAGCTGTCCTTGACTCCTGGGGCATGCAAATTAATCAAGCAAAGCAGGGCTGATGCCTGATAAACAAAAGTAGGGGCAAATTCCCTCCTAACTTGGTTTTAACTATTCACACGTTTGGGGATCACCTGCATTTGGTCTCATGTCTTTTTCGTGCCATACAACTTAAGTCATTTGTGGCTGTGTTTTGCAGGTGAAGACCAGATTTAATGTCCTCCTTAGAGGCTTTGCTTTTTTTTTTAACCACTTTTCAGACATCTCTGTTCAAAATATCTTAAGTTTAGTATGCGTATAACCTTTTAGGTGAGTGCTGCTTCCCAACATATCTAAACTCCATGCTTATTTAGTCGTGATGTGCAAGCACATGGCTCTGCAGGGTGGAGAATGGTCAAGTGCCAGTGCAGTCATGGTCATGGTTATGGTTATAACTTGTATTTCTGCCTGCCCAGATAGGTTCTAAGATGCCCCCTTCCTGAACACCTCCTGGTGGCCGCGCCTCGTGTAGTAACTGTCCCCGGCTCCCTGGAGACAGTGTGCACACTTGCTTTTCCCACTCCACAGTGTGACCTGGACTGTCTTCCACGTCTGCACATGTGTATCCATTGAAACTTTCACAGTTGTGTGACACTTGTGTAATGTGCATTGTCTCCTGTTTTGCACTACCATTTTAAATGAGCCTGCATTGAATACCTGTGTGTGTACCTTTGTGTATTTGTAACACACTCTAACATTGAAAAAATTAGAAAACACGATGCTGGTAATACCATGAGGAAGTAGGCCTGTTCATACACTGATGAGGGTGTGTAAATGAGCACACTGCATTTGGAAAGGAATTTTGGCGTTATGTATTTTTCATAAGGCATAAAAATGTTCGTAAGCATCCCCACATTATAATAATGTGCAGGGTACTCATCACATGACTATCAAATAGCCACAAATTGGAGGCAGTTTCAGCATCTCTCAGCGGAGCATGCATTTGCAAGTGTTGAAACTTCCTCTTATTTCAGCCATTAAACGGCTTACAGCAACCTTGAGAAAGAGCGGCAGTCAGGACTGCCATCGCAGCACCTCACAAAGCCCTTGTGATTGGGGGGAGGAAGCACCACAGAACCCGTGGTCTCTAAGATTAGAACCTTGTAAAGATTAAATATCCTAACGAATAAGGACTAAAAAGAGGCTCAAGAAATTGAGCTTGTTTAAATGATAGTAGCTTTCTGCCTTTTTCCTATTTTGAGTTAAATTTTCCACTTTTAAGTGTAAGTAATGATGTTGGAATAGCATTATGGTAACCTTTGACATGACTCTCACTTTTGGTCCATGTATTAATAGAGAATACTCGTTAGAAGTTCTCATTGATACTCAGTCTTTTTTGAGCATGGGTGGACAAACGATACCATTTCCGGTGGGGTCAGGGACAACCTCACCAGCTGGGACCCAAGGTTTACATACTCAGAACATAATGTGTCCCCATCAACCACAGCCCCTCAGAGAGTTCCTCCTTGGGGCCCCACCTGATCCCACGCTTTTTGGAAGCAAGCCTGTATAAGCTACAGTTGCCTACAGAAACTGTTGTGTGCAAATGTACAAGCATAAATGTAAAATCACACCCTCGCCACTGGCAAGTCACAGGAAGCCACACTGTTCACTGCTGTGCCTAGATACTCAGGTGTTCCGCTCTCCTGATCTCAGCCCGCCCTGGGGTCCTGTGCAGGGAGCCAGGCTCTCTGCTCTGGTCAGGGCTCATAGAGTTCACCATGTCCCACTTGACTCAAGAGCCTCTTATCTGTGTTGACAGGAGCAGAATCCTCCCAGCGTCCCTGTGCCAGCCCAGGCCGCTAGCGTGGGAACCCAGCCGCCTACTGCGTCCGCGGCCAGCACACACGGCAGTGCTCCCTATCTCAGCAGCCCACAGCAGGCCGCTGTGATTAAGCAGCATCAGTTGCTTTTGGACCAACAGAAACAGAGGGAGCAGCAGCAAAAGCATTTGCAGCAACAGCAGTTTTTGCAAAGGCAGCAGCACCTTCTGGCAGAGCAGGTGAGAGGAAGGTGGAAGAAAGCCCCGCCCTGCCTTTGCCTGCCTCCTGGGGACTCGGTGTGAATGCGCTCTCATTCGCATGTTCGGCATTAAACCCCATCCAAGAGTGTGGTGGTCCTCACACAGTGGTGGCCTATGTCAGAAGCAGCTTTGTGTCGCTTAAGTGGGGATTAATGAAGGCAGACTCTGTGGCTAAAACTGTATTAGGGACATTTTTCCATGCCCCTGTCAGTAGCTGCCAAAGCACAGAGCCCTCTGGCCCACCAGTTTGTTGTAGGACCCAGCTTTGTTGTAGATGCAGTTTGTTACAAGCCAGAACGAGAAGCGGGAGGTGGAGACCTGTCTGAGGACCTGGGGCTGTAGAATCAGGACGAACAAACCCTGTCCAGGTCCTACAGTTCTTCCACGTGGTCACCAAATATAGTGTACAGGTGCCAAGGCTACAGGAGTTCACGGGATTTTAAATCACATCTTTCAGACATAAGAGAAGAACTAGCCGTCTAGAGGTTAGTCAATTGAAAGGAGCTTTAAAGCCCACATCACTGCCTCAGTTCTGCCTTTTTTTTTTTTTTTTTGAGAATTTTTGTAAGAGTTTATTTGAGACAAAACTGATGAAAATTGCTGGGAATCAAGACCTCAAATGCTCCAGTTCTGCCATTTTTTAAATAGCAGCTTTATTGGGATATAATTCACATGATACACAATTCACCCATTTAAAGTGTATAATTCTGTAGTTTTTGGTGTATTCAGAGTTGTGCAACCATCACCACAATTTTAGAACATTCCATCACCTAAAAAGAAACTCTATACCCATTACCCATTAAAAGTTATCCATCCCCCCAGGCCTAGGCAACCACTAATCTGCTTTCTACCTCTAAAGATTTGCCTATTTCTGGACATTTCACATAAGTGGTTTCAAGGTTCAGCCATGTTGTAGCGTGTATCAGTACTTCCCTCCTTTTAATGGATGAATAATACTCTGTTGTATGAATATGTTACATTTTGTTTGTCCACTCATCTGGTGATAAACATTTGGGTTGTTTCCTAAACTTTGTGAACATAGGTTTTCAGTTCTCCTGAGTGCACATTTGGGGTGGAATTGGGGCTCATGTGGTAACTCTCGCATTTCGCCTTGGGAGCTGCTGGACTGCACTCCCCAGCAGTGTGTGGGGTTCCCATTTCTCCACCTCCCCGCTCACCAGTCTGGCCAGCCTAGTGGGTGTGAAGTGATTTACCTTTGTGGCTTTGATTTGCATTTCCCTGATCTGCCCTCCATTTTTTAAAACTGATAATACCACCTTTTCTTGATTATTGCTCCTTAGGCCTGCCCCATCCTTCTGTTTCATAGGGTTTATTACAAGTCCTCCAGATGAGATCATGAGCATGATCCCCCAGGAGTCCAGCTGTGAGGAGCAGACTTGGACAGTCTTCTCTGCTGCGATCTAACTCTGTTTTACGTGGGTCTCCTGCTCTCTGCATTTTCTAGGAGAAGCAGCAGTTTCAGCGCCATCTGAGCCGCCCGCCACCCCAGTACCAAGACCCGTCACAGAGCGCCTTCCCACAGCAAGTCGGACAGTTCACAGGTGAGGGTGTCTGAGGTGGTGGTGTGGGGGAGAGGAAGACAGGCACTGGATGGCAGGTGGGCTGTTCTGCCCACTTGTGCTGAGTTCCTGCTATCTGCCTGGCTTTACACCAGGTGTTAAATGGGTTTGCTGCTCATAGAAGCTTCAGTCTGCTCAGCCAAGGAGCCTGAAGGCCAGGGGGAGAGGCTCGTAGGGGCAGACCGCTTCGGCCAAGTGCTTTGGCTGGGTCCCTGGCTGTATAGTCTTTGAAGCAAAATCATTTCTGTTTGGAATATGCCTTATCAATAGGAAATAGCTCCTGTAATTCTTATGAAAGTTCTTTTCTTCTGCAACATGACCTTTTCTTGTTTTCTAGGTAAGGAGAGACTTAATGCACTTGTGTGGCCTTTGCTTCTCTTCTTTCTTCCTGTCCACTCACTCTGGTGTCAGGGATGGCAGCACCAGCCATGGACAGTTGACCAGGAAAGGGCAGGAGGCATTCCGAGGTCTTGGCTGTCATGTGTCAGATACGCGAGGGAACCTGGCTGCCATTGCTCAGGCTGTCACTCCAGAAATACACAGAGATGTCAGTTGACAGATGCAGTAAAATGTGGTCTGTACCCGCCTTCCTAGCTCCTCTTGGAATATCTTCAAAACCTGTCCTTTTCTTAGTCAGTGACTCTCATTGTAAAGTGTCCCAGAGAAACTGACCGCGCTGTGCGTTCTGGGAGAGAGAGGTGGAGTTTTATGTGCGTGCTAACCATGACTGTGGAGATGAAGTCTGCAGGCATCTCAGAAGCCTGGGGCTCAGCCAGCTTTCCTGCCTCCATCCCATCTGAGGCTGTGGGCTGTTGGTGGGAGTGAAGTACACTGTTTCTTTTCCTCTACCCAGTTTTTAATTAGGTGCTAGTGGAGAGAGAGAAAGGAGAAACAAAGTACTCCGCCGTGGCCAAGCCCCGAACATTGCACAGAAACCCGCCTCAGTTAGTGTCACCATGCAGCCATTGCTTAAGGCAGAGCCCCAGACAGCAAGTTCCCTGAGGACGTAACCTCTTTGTCCCTTTCTGCGCTGTCTCCCCAGCACAGTGCCCACCACAGAGCAGGGGCTCGGTAAGCATGTGCTGGTCACCATCTGAGCTTCTCCCTGCCGTGACCACCTGCCATGACCACCTGTTGTTTGTGGTGTGAAGAACTCGCTCTGACCCTGCACCGCCCAGTGCCCATTGTGCACCCTCTTCCAAGTGGCTTCACAGCCCCGGCCCAGCAGGGTCTGGACCACGGCCGCAATCCAGTTCCCCTTTGGCTGTGCAACCCTGTCCTTCACATGGCAGCCACAGCTCTGAGTCCAGCCAGCACTGTACCTTCAGTCTTATCTCTGGGATGCTGGACGCTTTCCTCACACAGACTGACTTTCATAACTTCATACCTTTGCACACGCTCTTTTCTCTGTCTGGAATACTCTGTTTCTCCAAACTGTTAAACTTATACCCTTCTAAAATCCATTGTGTTTGCCACCATGTCTGCCACCTTCCCCAGATCTCCACAGGCATCGAGCCTCTGTCCCCTGTGCACCCATGGCCTGCTGAGCAGCCTGTGGCACCCCTGTCACACTACACGGAGTCTTCACCTCCCAGAGACAGATCCCAGGTTCTTGGGGTCCCTGGTACCTGGCATAGGGCCTGCCACAGAGCAGAGACGGGGTGGGTGTGGGAAGGTGGGCCAACCAGTCCACCGGCTCCCTGCCCCTCAGGTGTCACCCCTTCCTCTGTGCCTGTCTCAGTCTCCTCATTGCTCCAGAGCGGCCTGTTGCCCCGTTCACTCTCTGAGAGTTGCCAGGGCTCACTCTCTGAAGCTGCACTGACCATGAGATACCTGGTGCTCTGATTTTGCCATTGCTGCCTGCAGGATAGAAGCTGCACCTGGGATCTCAGAGGTGTCTCCACAGTGGTGCTCGAGAAATGCCAGCTTGATTGACATGATCTTCTGTCTTCTAGGGTCCTCTGCTGCCGTGCCTGGCATGAACAACTTGGGTCCATCTAATGCCAGCTGTCCTCGAGTATTCCCTCAGGCCGGGAATCTAATGCCAGTGGGCCCTGGACATACTTCAGTTTCCTCTCTCCCCTCAAACTCAGGCCAGCAGGACAGGAGTGGGGCTCAGTTCGCTGGCCCCCAGGGCATGCCACAGGGCAGCCTCTATGGCATGGCCTCTGGCATAACCCAGATAGTTGCCCAGCCCCCGCCACAGGCCACCAACGGACATGCCCACATGCCACGGCAGACCAGCGTGGGCCAGAACACCTCGGTCTCGGCTGCCTATGGACAGAACTCTCTGGGGAGCTCTGGCCTCTCCCAACAGCACAATAAGGGGACCCTGAACTCTGGTTTAACTAAGCCACAGGTCCCAAGGGTGTCAGCGGCCATGGGAGGCCAGAATCCCTCCTGGCAGCATCAGGGAATGCCCAGCCTGGGTGGCCAGACCCCAGGGAGCAACACCGTAAGCCCCTTCACTGCATCCTCCGGTTTCCACATGCAGCAGGCCCATCTGAAGATGTCCAGCCCGCAATTTTCCCAGGTGATGCCTAGCCGGCCCATGGCTCCCATGAGCTCAGCAGCTGCCACAGGGCCCATGCTGCCCCCCGTGAGTGTGCAGCAGAGGACCAGTGCCCCCGCCCCGGCACCTCCCCAGGGAGCCCCACAGCAGGGCTTGCCGGGCCTGAGCCCAGGGGGGCCTGAACTGGGGGCCTTCAGCCAGAGCCCTGCCCCACCGATGGGTGGCCGGGCAGGGCTGCACTGCCCCCAGGCCTACCCCGTGCGGACCGCGACCCAGGAGCTGTCCTTTGCCTACGGCGGGCAGCCGGCTGGCAGCGGGCTAGCCAGCATGGCTGGAGACGCTGACCTGATGGACTCCCTGCTGAAGAACAGGACTTCGGAAGAGTGGATGAACGATTTGGATGACCTTCTGGGGCCTCAGTAATGGGAGCCTTTGTGGTGGTGTCAGTGTTCTGACGTCCTATATTTCTGTTCTCATATTCAACAGTGAGCAACTATTTGGACCAAAAGCATGGCCCAGGGTGCCGGTGGGCAGAGTAGAGCCTAGGGCCGAGACCTGGCCTGGCTGGGATCTGCAGAGCCCACGGCTGTGAGCCGGCAGCTGTGATCTGTCGGGCTGGCCCTGACCATATGCTGGTGTCATTGCCTGGTGTTGCGACAGCAGGACAGCGTTCTATAGGTGGTTTTCTATACAAGTGACCAAAAAACCAACAGTTATAACCATGAGACCCTATGGTGTCAGGCTTATAAAAATCTGTGCCCTTGTGTTGACTTCATCCAAGATTTCCCCTCTTGTCCCAGTGTTGGGGGCAAGTTTTTGTTGAAACTTTATATAGAACTATTTGCAGTTGTAGCATAGAAAAGATTAAATTTTTTAAAGGTTTGAAAACAGATTAGGATAGGTGGCGGTGTAAGTTGATTAAGTGGCTTTGGAAACCTAGGGCTTCCTTTTGATGAAGAGCCTCTTTTATTCATGCTCTTCATCAGCTTGCAGGGGATGGGGGGGTCTACTGGGGAATCATCCGTAAGTGAAGGCTGTGACTGCGTGTGCCAAAAAGGAGCGGGATGCTGTGCAATGGCAGAGCTAGTGACAGATGCCATCTTCTCAGCAGCTCTCTTCCCAGACACTGGTCTTACAGATCGGCATTGGGGAGGCCCCCAGGAAGCCCCCAGGCTAAATGCTGACACAGAGTGTTACTGATGCCTGTGTCCCCTCGTGTCGTAACTTCCACTCTGTGCAGTTTCCCTGACAGCTTGTATTTACCAGTTTGGGAAGGTGGTCATTGTCGAGTTGTGCACAGATGTCTTTTCTTCACGCTGTCTTCAGTTCCCATGGCCTTTCTTTCTGCCTCCCCTTTTTTTTCTCTCTTCAGCCCAAATGGAAAAACCTCTTTGAGGCAACGATTTACTAGATTGGAGAGGAAAATAGAGTCACTAAAATTCCCTAGGGAGCCCTAGCATGGTAGGGAGGAGGGTACCCCTCCCCAGGAAGAAAAGCATTGTGGGAAAGAGGATCAGAGAGGTACCCTGTTTGGCAGGGAGGCCCGCTGAGGGAGGAATGCCACTTTGTTGTACTCCTTCTGCCACTCCCATGTTAGATGACTTGCACTTTTTAAAGAGAATTGCTTTATAACACTAATGCATCCTCTCTGAAGGCTCAAGTGGATTTCTCTTTTAAGGTCTGTGAATTAATAGACTTGACTAAGCTAAGAGTCCACAAAGCAGAGTATTAAGTGTGCCTATTTGTGGAAAAAAAAAGATGGAGAGAGCACTTTGGGATCAGGAAAACAAAATGATGAGCGCAGGGTGAGAGCCCTTCACACGGAGTGTTGGAGAGAAAAGGGTGCCCTGAAGAGTGGCTTATATGCTGAGCGGTCTCTGGAGAAACCACAAGTCTGTTTTTATTTCCCTGGAGTCTCAAAATAGGTAATTCAAGGAGCGTCATGTAAAGAATTGAGCCAAGGAAAATACTCATGTGACCAGCCTGAGTGGCTTTGATGAGGAATGGAGGGTTGTACACACATTGGTAGTGATTTTTGCACCAGCAGTGCCTTCATGGGGGTACTTGGACCCTCAGATCCTCTTCTCTAATAGCCATGTGCCACCACAAATGGTGGTGTTGGGCCATTTCCCCTGTAACTGCCGTCCCTGCCTTCCCCAGATGCTGGATTTAGCTCTCAAAGAAGAGAATGAATCAGCGAAGACTTCGCCCTCTGAGTGAGTTCCCCAATCTGAAGGGGAAGAGGGTGACTTCCGCGGGTTTTCTACCAAAAATAGCAGGCTGAAGGCTGGTGGCGAGCTCTGTTCCTCACTGGTGTTCCCTCTGGCTGCTGCTCACCTCTGTCCCCAGGGCGCCCCCACCTCCCTTCCCAGTGAGGGCTGCCCCCGCCTTAGTCCTGGGGCCACCAGACAGCAGCCTGCTCACTTGCTGCAGTGTCAGAGCAATAAAATGTGATGCTGGGATCCTCCCAGGGAGCTGCCCGTGGCTTTATTTATGAACCTGGTTTTTGGGGAGTCAGGAGCAGAGGACTCTGCTTCCAGACCCCCCATCTTCCAGGAGCCATGACTCAAAAGAAAAGGGTGCTCAGACTTTTGTTATACACGTTTGCTTTGTGTAAATAAATGTTTACAATTTTATATTAAAGATGGAATAAGCGTTAGAGCTCTGACTGTATATTTTTTACTTTTATAGATTTTAAAACTATGATCCTTTATATATGTGTTTTGGGGAAGCTATGATAAGTTTTATGGCAAACAGTTGGTATTAACTTTTTATTGTCATCAAAGTACACAAAAACCCTATTAATCCCCTTATTCTTCTACTTCCCTTAACTGGTATACACCAAAAAGAAACCTTGACTTTCCTGTTTTATCATTATAAAATAATAAAAGTATTTTGCTAGTATGGAAACTGCCCGCGTATTGCCTTCACGTGGTTGTGCCAGCTGGGCAGGAGGTGGACGCGGCTGCTTTGTTTGGTGGTTGATTTTCTTTTGTGACTTAGCAGTTTACGAATGGAGCATTGGGGTGGGGTGGGGGGGTTTGGGTGGGTTTACCTCAGAGCAACTCCCACTATTTGATGATAGATATGAAATTAAAACTGACGTCACTCAGGGACACTTCAGGTCACAATTGAAATGTTTTACAGGCACACCTCTTGGAGATACTGTGGGTTCATTCCAGAGCACCCAATAAAGCAAATATTTCAATAAAGCCAGTCACATGAATTTCTTGGTTTCTCAGTGCATATAAGGTATGTTTACATTATATTGTCTGTTGAGTGTGCAGTAGCCATTGTAGGGTTTTTAATTGGCCTAATTTCAATATTGTGTCTCAGGGAAGTTCACCCTCACCAGTAATCAAAGAAGTGCAAATTAGAACACAGGGAGATTATTCTGTCAGTGTAACAGATAGGTGACGCCCATGTCTGCTACAGTACAACTGTCATGGGAAGAAATTTTGCAAAAGGTATCAAGCTCCTTAAAATGTCCATGATGTCTGTCCAATGCAGCAATTCCAACTCTGAGAAGCCATCCTTGAAAATAATTCTGGATGCACAGCGGTGGTAGAGTAGCACCATGCATAACTGCTCCTGCGGCCGATCAGAATAGCTGCCGGGATGGTCAAGTCAACCGTAGTGCTCCTGCCCAATGAGGCACAATGCAGTTACTTTAAATATTTAGGAAGATTTTAAACACGGTAACTTGGGCTTCTTACGTTGCGAGCCAATAGAAAAGATGTCTAACAAAACCTCAAAGTTCCCTGCCCATAGCTTGTTCTTAAGGTTACCGGGTAACCCCCGTCATCAAAAGGGGCGTTGAACAGTCAGGCCTCAGGAGTGGCAAGGGCCAGGCTTCCTGACCTCTGGAGCTCTGCCACCATCCCGTGTCTGTTGCGGGTCACCAGCCAGGCTTTGGGGGCAATGAGGCACGTTCCCTAAGGGACAGTTGGCTCAGCACATGTTTACAGAGCAGGACAGCGGCAGTCTGAGAAGGCCTGGCCCCTGCTCCCTGGAGCCCACAGTTTTGTGTGAGGCAGCGTCATGAGCAGGTCAACAAGATGATCTCAGAGTGGTAAGTGTTGTGGAGGGACTGAAAACAGTGATAAGATGGAGGACACTGGGGCCGCAGGGGTGAGGGGTGGCCAAGATAACTTAGATGTGGAGGTCAGGGCAGGCCCCTTGAAGGAGGGGACATTTAACAGGCCGAGTGCTGGGAAGGAGCCAGCCAGCCCTCTGAGGGGATGGGAGAAGTTCCCCAAAGGAGGGGGGTGCTGCCAATAGGAGGGGAGGAGTGCTGAGAAAGCAAAAGTAACATGCTGACGCAGTTTAAAAGTTCAGTTTAAAACACCCAGGACATGCATTGCTTACAGTCAGGGGGTGGGCCCTCCTCAGGCCCAGGCAGGCTGCACCACTCTGGGCCTCTGCCAGCCCCACCCAGGGAGGTGCCCAGGATAGGACGGTCTCCTGTCAGTCCCTGGGGTTGGACCACCCCTGCTATTGTTAGCAGCATTATCAATAAGGTAGCCTGAAGGATAGCCAGCTGATAAGGGCCTGGAAGTGGTAATGTGGCTAAAAAGCTGTCAAAAGATGCAAAGTGGTGGATGCCCATGAACTTGATCCAGGCTGGTGGCTGAACTCAACCAGAAGTCACAGGTGCCTGGCCGGTACAGGGTGGTGGGCGAAGGCTGGGAAACAGCTGGTCAGCTGGGATAAATCTGCATGACTGGCCGTTTCCCCTGTCCTCTTGCTGGTAATGTACCTGCACTTTGTTAATTGGCTGTGCTGACATTGCAGATCATTTCCTCTCTGAATGGTTGTAATAAACTGGGCTATAGACACTAGTCGGTGCGTGCAGACCATTTCATGAAGGTTGGAAGAAAAACCTCAGACCCTCCGCCACCTTGGGTACACGGAACACGTCCTGCTGGAAGCTGCGGACAGAAGCAGGAACAGCTGTGCCCATGTTGATCACGGAGTCCGTGCAGAAGGCTGCACTCATACCTAGAAAGCAGAACTTCTCAAGGTTACAGAAAGGGGAATTGAGTCACAAAGGCTTCAGCTGCACTACTTGCTGCCTTTGGACTCATCACTCCTGACACCAGCGCCATTCCTCATCTTGAATGTTAAGGGTATAGGTGGTTCTATACTTTTATAAGTACCCAGGCTCTTTGCTATACTGCGGGGCAGAGCCCTGCCACATACAGTCAGTGTCCAAGCCAAGCGTGTGGATATTACCATCCTACCTACTATGTCATGTTACCCTCCAAGCTGCAGGTGCAAGGGGTCGAACTCTGCAGCTGCCTCTCATTCATCCCATTGAACCTCTCCTATGCTGCCCTCTCCATCCATCCCATCCTGTAGCCGCCCCATGACATTCTTAGATGACTAGAGCAAGAGAACAGGGCACATCTGAGCCTGAGTTGGCCACTCAGGACAGAGCAAGCTCAGCTGCCCTTCAGGGCCGAGAAGCTCCTTTCTGCACACGCCAAGAATTTTGGCTGTGCTGGCTGACAGCTGAGGCTTCCTGGGAACTGCCTTCAGGGTAAGGGAGCTGCCTTGCCCACAGCTGTGCCCCTTCCCAGGGCAGCCCATATCTGGAGACTGGTCAGTGTGCGGTACAAAGGCCCAGCTCCTTCCTCACTGTGGGACATCGCAAAGCTCCTGGGATCATCTGAAGCCTCTGTGCAACCACATCTCAGTTCAGCTTCCCTCTGCCCAGTCCTGAGAGTGCTGTCAGAGCCAGCTCTGCACTGGCAGCCACCCTGCAAAGAGGGCCCATCACTGGTGAACGTGGGGCACGGAGAGCTGCTGCTGTGCTGTGGTTAAAGGACTTTCAGCCTGAGGATACCAGGGTAGGACACGGGGAGGGGAACGCAACCTCCTAGGCTTTAGAGAAGTTTAAGGGAAGGAGTAATTATAAGAACCATGAAACAAAAGACAAGTGTCGAGGATATGGAAAAACGGACCCCTCATGCACTATTGGTGGGAATGCAAAATGGTGCAGCCACCATGGAAAATAGTATTGAGGTTCCTCAAAAAATTAACAGTAGAATTACCATATGACCCAGCAATTCCACTTCTATGTATTTAATAAATCAGGACATATTAGCACTTCCATGTTCACGGCAGCATTATTTACAATAGCCAAGATGTGAAATACCCATCTATGGATGAACAGATAACAAAAAAGGGATCTACACAAACAATGGAATATCATTCAGCCTTAAAAATAGGAAATTCTGCAATATGCCACAGCATGGATGGACGTTGAGAGCATTATGCAGAGTGAAATAAGCCAGCCACAAAAAGACAAATACTGTGTGAGTCCACTTACATGAGGTATTTGTAATAGTCGATTCATAGAATCAGAGTGGAGTGGTGGCTCCCTGGGGCTGGGGAGGGGGAAATGGGGAGGTGCTAACCAACCGGCTTAAGGTCTCAGTGAAGAGATGGCTCAGCACTAGAGGTCTGCTGTGCAACAGTCAAGAGTATTGTATTGTACACTTAGAAACTTTATTAAAGGATAGATATGTTAAGTCTTCTTTTAGAATAAAATTAAAAAACAACAACAACTGGTATTAGAGGGTTGTTCCTGGGGGCTGTCAGTGATGCACTGGAGAAAGATAATGAAAAGCTGGACAGCATGTGAAACCAGAGGACCTCCTTGCCAGCCTATAAAGAGCAGACTAAGCTGAAGGGACCAGGCCAGGACTTCAGTGTGAAGGTCGAACTCTCAACCCACCAATTCTGCTACATCAAGGTCACTGTCCTGGTTAGGAAGGAGAGGGACCCTGACACTTGGGATGGGTTGGGGACATCTGATTGATGCCCTAGAAAGCCAGGTGCCCCTGAAACCATCTGGACCTGCAGATGGGCCCACCCCTCCCTCTTAAGGGCTGGTGCTTTTTCCTCCTGCTTGAAAATGACGCATACGCCTCTGTCAACTCCCCTTGGGGTCTGCTTCGCACCTCCCCTCCTGGCCACCCCACCAATAACGAGGGTCATGTAATAACATAACCTGGCTGGGCAAGTGCCGGGCCTACCAAGAGAGGAAAGGGACATACTGGCGGCACTGCAGCACCTTGCCAAGGTGGCTGGGCAGGAGCGGCAGTGTGCAGGGGACCAAGGGGCTGGGCTGGGGGTGGCACAAACGGGAAATTGGTTCAGGGAGCCCTTATCCATAGGGCTGTAACACAGGACCTACTCTGGAAGCACTGAGAAAGCTGTGGCCCGGGCCCAGGCTAGCGGAAATGCTGCAGCACTGCGGCAGGCGGTGGAAGAGGGGCCCGAGGGCTCAGTGACACACCACTTCGGTGACCAGCCACAAAACCTACCGGCCAAATAGGTACTGCCAGAGGACCCAGAGGACACCCGTTTACCAAAAAGAGAGGGTGCACTGGAGAGGGGCACCAGATCATTGAGAAGTTGGGTGGCCATTCCTTTAAGGCGTAGACTGACAATAGCAGATGTCACAGAACTGGGCTTTATGAAAGCATTGGGGTTGACAGGGTCCCAAAGCAGCGGGGCCAGGTGGCAGCGTGGACTTTCCAGAGGCAGGTGGGGGCCATTATCGTAATGTGGGCCAGGTTGGAGGACCGACCCACAGAAAGCTAGGAGCCGGGGATAAGTAGCTGGGCAGCTGACCAGGGACTGGCTTTCCTTACACAACCAGAAGAAGTCCACAGTGGATGGCTGAGGGAAGCTGACCCAGGACAAAGTCACAGAACACTGCCCAGTTTCCAGACTTGAGGCCGTTGTCAGACACGGAACCTCTTGGCCAGAAGCAAGAAAGGACCCCACAAGGAAGGCCTCATCAACATCACCGTGAGTGATGCAGGAACGACCCTCCCAGTGCTTCCCACAGGGACCTGCAGCCAGTTACTCCGAGAACCATACCTCAGAGAAGAGGA